TTTCTAAAAAGAACTTGCAGTTACCTAAGGACTTGCTCATCATGATCATGTGGTCATTTCTGACAAACAATGGACTGAGGCCCTTTCCTCATTTTTGAACAATGACTCACAAGCAAGCCATTGCACAAACTACCACTGTAGTCCACAACTGCTCATTTTTTTAAGCCAAAAGTTCTTTTTTGTGACTACTCGGTTTTCCTCTTTGAAATGCTCTATGTCTGCTCTCTCTCCTTTTTAAAAATTGCTCCACTGTATTATTAATCTGAAATAAATCTTTGTTGCAATTTTACAGAACAGGAAAAAACAGGGAAGTCTGGACTTAAACAGAGAATTAAGACAGAATGAATATAACATTCATCATCTAAACTGGAACACTTGAGAATCAAAGAGAACATGTTGGCTAGCCCTGAGACTTCTCCACACAAAAGACATAGGTTCTCTCCAGTAGACCCCACAGAGAGATATAAAATGCTGGGAAAGTTAAGGCTCGGATCTCCAAACAGAAAAAAGAGAGAATATGCAAAACAGTTTGACTAAACTAACTGATTTTGCCATCATGTCTAATACTTCTTGAACTTCTGGGTCATAAATAACAACACTGGGGTTAAAAGAACCATACTCAGTGGTTTCACATTTACCCATACAACTGCTGTTGTTAAACTGTTGTTGTTTGGTGCCATCAGGTCAGCTCCCACTGATAGCAACACTTTCCTACACCATCCTCACAATTGTTACACTTCAGCCCACTGCTGATGCCAGCATGCCAATCCATCTCATTGGAGGTCTACCTCTTTTTTTCGCTTACCCTCCACTTTTACCAAGCATGATGTCCTTCTCCAGAGACTGGTCTCTCCTGATAACATGTTCAAAGAATGATAGACTAAGTCTAGTTATCCTGGCTTCTAAGGAGCACTCTGGCTGTGTTTCCTCCAAAACAGATTTGTTTGTTCTTCTGGCAGTCTATGGTCCTTTTAATATTCTTTTTCAACACCACACTTCAAATGTATTGATTATTCTATAGTCTTCCTAATTCATTGTCCAACTTTCACACGAATATGAAGCTATTGAAAATACCAGGGCTTGAGTCAGGCATACCTTAGTCCTCAAACTGCTATCTTAGCTCTTGAATACTTTAAAGAGGTCTTGTGCAGTACATTTGTCTAATGCAATATGTAGTTCGATTTCTTGACCACTGCTTTCATGAGTGTTGATTGTGGATCCAAGCAAAATGAAGTATTTAACAACTTCAATCTTTTTTTCCATTATCATTATGTTATTTATTGGTCTAGTTGTGAGGATTTTGTTTTCTTTTGCATTGAGATGCAATCCATATTGAAGGCTGCAGTCATTTATC